TATACTTCGTTATCCTCAAAGTAATTGCATGATTTTTCAATATTTGAAATTTCAAATTTTCTTGAGGCTAACATGTACAGACACCATGTCAGGCTAAATATTGTGGTATCTTAAATTATGTTGTTATCATCTGTACTATTTAGTTTTTGTGTTTGTATATCTGTTAAATTGTAAGGGGTAATCTCGGGATCTACAGAACCGATTTTGAAAATTCTTTCACCAATAGTAAGCCATATTACTGCTGAGTGTCATAGGTTATATAAAAAACCGAAAAATTTCACGCGGGCGAAGCTAGTATTCAATAAAAATTTAGTACCAAAATATTAGGGCAAATTAATATTGTTCCATTAGTATTTTAATATTAACTTTTAGACTTAGCTTAATATTCATACCGAAAGCAATCCCATACAACTTCCAAGACAGCACTGGTGTCATAAAAAAACTTTGCTAATTTTGACACTAAAAACAAAATGGACGGAAGCTAAACAAGCTCTGCTCGTAAATCTTCGTCTCATTATATGTACCTCGTAATAACAGTTCGCCGGAGATGGTCACCGACATAAACCCAACTAACGCCGTAGACAATTAGTCGGCGTAATAATAGAGAACAGTGGCGGCCGACCTTCTGCAAGACGGTTTACACGGCGCGATGTCGAAAATATGGTGACACGATTTGAGTAATCGTATCGTATCGTTTCAGCCAAATGACGTCCACAGCTGGACAAAGGCTTCTACCTGCTCCTACTCCTTCAAAGAGGATTTGTTAATGTATTTTTGTAAAACAGCCATCAAATTATATTTTTCGATAAAAAATGCAAAGAAAAATCTGTGTTCAGCATGCTTAAAAGTGATAGACTCACATAAAATATGATAGGTAACTCTAGTTACTGATTTAAGAGTTCTTTCAAATTAGACGTTTTGAGACGGGCGTTTGTCGTCCGTTTGCAGGACCGCACACTGAAAATTGTATGACAACTGCGTTGGAATAAAAATGTCAGTCAATTACCAACAGAGTGCGCGGTCTTGCAAGCGGAAGACAATCAGAAGAAGAAGAAGAAGAATCATAAGCGTATAAAATATACATTTTTGAAATTCCATTATTCCAATGTCACGTTTTACTAATACTCATTCTTTCCATTAATTTTTTTATCAAGAATAACGTTAAAACCAAGACACTATATTAATATTATATGTATCTATAACGCATCGCATAGTCCAAAGTCGTATCGAATCGCGAGACTCGTCACGTAACGTGACATACGATTACACGACACGTCACAACATCGTCCCGTGCAAACCGCACCCTGAAGTGCGTTTACAAGCTAAATTGCACCAAGATAATTACCGTCCGGTGCTAATCTGTGTTGTGTATTAGAATTAACTGTGTTTTAAATGTGGCTACTGCTAACAATAAACAGTAACGTACGGAGTTAATTGTCTTGTAGCGCTGTTTTAACACCTATTTGAGTTAAGTCTAAAGGAGCAAGACAAATCGCTTGATGTTGTGGGAAAGATATACTTAGGCTGGGTTGCACCATCTTACTTTAACCTTAACAAACGTCAAAACTCCATACAAAAACACCGGTTACCGTATACCTACGGTTAAAGTTAGGTGGTGCAAATCAGCCTTAGTCGAGTTAATGATAACCCAATCAACGAATTTTCGTACATTAATTGCCAAAATTCTTTAGCAATCATCAATACTATTGCATTTGATAATGTCTGGATAATTTGAATATCATTCCACTTTGCAATACAATTTAAAAAAAACGGCCATTCTGGAAATCATTAAGGGAGGCCTATGTTCAGCAGTGGACGTCCTGTGGCTGAAATGCGTAATACAACAAGTAACTAAATTGCTTTGTAAAAAAGATAAAACTTATGCTATCACAATTTACTACGTCCATATTTCATATTATATTGTACGCAGACCAATCATCCTCTCTATTAAATCTCAAAAGCGTAAGGATGAAACCAAAAATAAACCAGCAAAATTAAACTACCAAGTGTTACATAAAAACCGCAAATAAATCCCTGGCAGCATCAAAATGGCGATAATCCACACTATTTTAGTTTAACGCTCGAACAGTACATTTACTGCCATCTTATAATTTACAGCGAATGAAAATTTATGAAGCGAACTCTTGCCTACACTGTGGTAAGGTTTTGCTTAAACTGTCAATAAACTTAATGATCCCCCGTGGGTTAATGAAAAGCGTTATCGGGTGCGCTACGGGTTAAATGATTTCCTAATAGGTTTTAATTATCAGTGTAATGTTCGCGGTAACTTTGTCTTGGGATATTTTGCAAGAAACCATTAAAGTTACGGTTTGCTTCAACGTTTCCCAGTCTAGCTTAAAGGCTTACCAATCACATTATAGTAGGTACATTTAAGTAATTATAGTTGTTCTAAACCTACTTCATAACTGTCTGAAAATTGGACATCATCTAACCAGTATTGGCTACATAAGAAAAAAAAAGAATATCCCAGATAAAACCTAAAATTCCTGAAAAATATGTAAATAACGGCTCAAAACCAATATTTTTCAAGAATTGCATATAATTTGATGCTAAATAATTTTTTTTCGTTCTTCCAAAAACATGATTTCACGACTATACATCGTTTTCATGAAATAATTTGATAACGTCTCGCGTCTGAATGATACAATATCAGCTACATTAAGAAAAATATTATGTTTATCATGTGACTCATCACAATACTGTTATGTATTAATGTTTTCACAAAACGATTTCGATATAATTCTACCTACTTATGTCTCTTACTCTCAAATGAGATGCATACTACCTAAAATTAAGCTCTTGTCGCTGTAAGGTTTGTAGTAGTGACTAAGTTTCTTGCGCTGCTTCTTCTCAGCACTGGCCCATTTATTTTCCCGAAGCAGTGGTAGGGTTAATACTTGGACGTGTAAAGGTGCTTTTTAAAAGCGTAAAGTATTTGCAACAATAAATTAGTTTTGTGAGCTTTTTAGTACAAAACAACACTCAAAACTAGGTTAAATCTCAGTAATAAAGTCTGTTCTGTGATTGGTATTATTATTGGACAAATTAAATATCTTAATCTTGAAACTGAAATACCCAAGTTTTCAGCTTCATTCTGTAATACCTAGGACACATACTGCCCCGTCTGCTGACACGACATCTTAGTGCCGTGCCTATCATTTTAAATGGAAACTAAGCAGGTAGTTAACTAATAGTCGTTTCGTAGTTTTATAGGGTTTGCGGTGGTCCTGTACATTGTTTTTAATGAGCTATAACACGGTTAATTAAATACCAAACGACCGCCACTCGGTTATATTTTACGGACGCGTTGACGTATGCCGTTAATAATGTCGGAGTCACTTCGAGTTCGGACAATGGCGGCTTTTGTTTGTTTAAGATTTGTTTAAGTTTATTTTATCCCAACTAATATTATAAATGCGAAAGTAACTCTGTCTGTCTGTCTGTCTGTCTGTCTGTCTGTCTGTCTGTCTGTTACGCTTTCCCGATTAAACCTCGCAACCGATTTTGATGAAATTTGGCATAGAGATAGTTTGAGTCCCGGGAAAGAACATAGGATAGTTTTTATCCCGGTTTTTGAAACAGGGACGCGCGCGATAAAGTTTTTCTGTGACAGACAAAATTCCACGCGGGCGAAGCCGCGGGCGGAAAGCTAGTGTAATCATAAAAGACATTGAAAGACACTTTTTATCTTTGATCGTCAAAATAACTCTTAAGATGAGTTGCACCATCTTAATTTAACTTAAACAAACGTCAAAAATCTGTCAAACTCCGTACAAAAAGCACCGGTTATTGTTATTGTTACGGTTGAAATATAGTGATGCAAATATTCAGCCTTAGAAACTTTTTGTAAAAAAAAACCTCTCCGGATTCTTCGAATTCCAAAGCATGATTGAAACAGATCAGACAGAAGGAAAGGTATCTTCATTATCTAATCATAAAATAATATGTACATATTTTCCAAAACGTTTTTAGACTACGTGCTCGATAAAGCAAATTAATATTTGATGCCTACTTTATTAAAATGCAATCAGATCTTTAATTAAATAACATCATTCGATACGACTACGGAACAACAAATCTTTGTGACATAACACTTCAGGAGCATTATTTTAAGATGACAACATTCTTATCACTCCCATTGACCTGTAAAAATACTTGATAAAGGCTGCAACAGATAAAAAGATCATTCTAGGTTCATTTTGTAGGTAGACAAATAATGTAGCAAATATTTATACATGCATCTCGATAAATGATTTCCGTATTATCGTCTCGGGTAAAATAACAATCCGATGATATCGGAAATTGCCGTATAGGTGACCATTTATTGTCAATTAGTTGATAAGGTGCTGGCACTGATTAGTGAATAATCGATTTTATGTTCAGTGATTAATGCGTGACTTTTCCGATTTACTGATTCTATGATACTATTTGTTCTCGATTAGTAGCTAGTTAGACTTTGGATACAATTGATCAGTCTTTATGATTATGATGTGTTTGATTCATCTGCCGTGTTCTGCCTACTTTATGATTTGAAATTATCGTTGTACAGTAATTTTGACGTTAGGGTGTCGCGAAATTTACTCACGATCTTCTTCACACCCGAAGGATTAATTCCATATAGGTAGGTCTGTGTGCTTACCATGAGTTTACGTTAGGTGTGCTCACTAGCGACTGCGTAAAAAAATGACATTAATTGTATGACATATTGTGCAGCGCCCCTAGCGGCTACTTTCAAGAAACAAAATCTTCATTGAGATTTTTGACGTACTCGCTATCGAGCATACCTAACGTAAACTCATGGTAGGTACACAGATAGGTATTAAACGTCAGTAAAATACGTATGATATAAATATTATTTAACTAAAAAGAAACAGGTTCTGGGAGTTCCATATGTATAATCCTATCTGTAGGCTCCAACTAGGAATCAAACCTGGATTCAACATTGAAAAAATTCATCAAAACATGCTTAAAACACTTACTTGTTCTGTTTAACCGGCGTCGTCGACGGCGTAGGCCTCTTCTCTTCTTTGATCGTGCTGTTATTCATTTTGGAAGTCAGCCGCTTCAGCACGTCATCCATCGACCGCTTGTGCGGCGCCGCAAGCGACAAAGCGCTGTTGTGGTTCAACAACGAGTTATTATTGTTACAGAGTCCCAACACCTTGGCCTCAGCACCTGGGCTGCTGCATTCTGAGGAGCCCCGCCGTCTGTTCAGATCGCTGACTTGGTGGAGCCCTAAGAACGACGATGGGACTAGAAGGTTGTTTGTCATGTCTAGATTTTCGAACCGCTGCTTCTTCGTCGGTCGCTCCTCGTCGAACTGGTCTTCTTCGCTGATGGAGGTCCTGGTGGAGGAGCAGGGGGACAGCTTGAAGTGCTGCTCCGGGTCGTCGGACTCGTGGTCGAAGTCGGCTGGGCCAGCCTCTGGTTTTTCGTCGGCAGCTCCGTCTTGCAATTTAGAAGGCGGCGATTTGCGTTTAGATGACATGTTTCTGGAAAGAAAATTCAATGGTTAATCATTTGAAACTACCTTGATTATTTTAAAAAGAGACAGTAGCTTAAAATAACAGGAATGCTACAAGTAAATGTTTACAGTTCATAAAACAGAATTTGATGTTTTGAACATGACCGTAAGTACTTTAGTAAGTTTACTTTATTAAATTAGTAAGGCTGAGTTGCGCCATCGTATTTTAACTTTGACAAACGTCGAAAATCTGTCAAACTCCATACCAAAAAACACTGGTTATCGTTGAAGTTACGGTCAAAGTTAGGTGGTGCAACTCAGCATGAGACTTCAATGTTTAAATCGTAATAGCAAGTGTAACCAAACCCTCATAGTAAAAGTATTGATTACAAACGTATACCTAAATAAATAGTACGAGTATTTTCTATCGGCCATTTTCTTAGTAAAATGCAATAGACACAAACCGAACTGAGACTGACTTTAATGCAATTGAACGTGTCAAATGAGAGCCTAAGCACACAATTAACCAATCTACAATTAGTGTTGTCAAACAGCGGGTTGGACGTCAGCCGTAGAGCCGTCGCGGCGTCGGTTGACACTCGGTTCGTTAGGTCACGTAATTGGCTGTTAAATGTACTGATTGCTTCTGCTACTTGGCTCAAGGTGTCCAGAGACGCCAGTCTAAGAAGATCTGTAGATTTGGCGGATTTTGGCTCTTAAAGGTACAGTAAATAATTGTGTGTAAACTAAATAGGTAACTGTGTAGATACTCGTAAGTTACTAAAATTTTAAGTTATAAGTCTCTCGTGGTAAGCAAACTAGACAGTAGGTACCTGAACATCATTTCTTCAAGGGTGTGACGAGGGGCAGTTATTCCATTCTAACCGCTTACTTTGAAATGTAAGTACCTAACGCCCGCCAATAAATTAGACTTGTAGACAGACATCTACTTTTTTATTTCTTGTACATAATAATATGTATAAGCTTACGTAGAGAAAAAAGCCTTTATCTTTATAAGCTCTATTTTAATGATTCTCTATTTTTTCCATTTACCTAAGTAGAACAAAGTTGACTGTATATAAGAAAATCGCACCTATTTCAACTACTAGATGTATCACTTAACCTTCTTCGGTTGATGTATTTGTATATAACACGACTTGCCGTCGTCTGTGTTGGAAGTATACTAATAAAAGAGGGAATTATTTGAATTTAAACACGGTTTATTGACGTCCACACGGACGGAGAGAGCACAGAGAATACAGAGTTGCATAGACAAAAGTATGTACTTTTTAATTGAGGCAAAGGGCGGTGTTTACATAAATCCTGCAGTCTGTACAAACATAGTAAGTTCTAAACTAGCGAATAAACGGTCATTTTCCTCAGGGTTCACACTCCTCAACCACAGCAAAGCATCGACAGAGCTACAGACGTCTTATTACTTGCGACAACAGTGAAATCAGGGCTGTCTCCGTCTGGAGCTTTGATGTCTGTTTATCTTCGACTTGTACTTAATTAAGTGTTTACTGAATTCAATAACGCCATGTTGATTTTGACTTTTTTGGGAGCTGCTTTGACTGCAAATTGTGTGTATAAAGATGGAAAGTTCTTGAATTCAATTTGATTTGAAACTAAAAAAATTAAGTAATTGAAAATGATAACAATTAATTTTGTATTCCAGGTGTCTTCAAGGAGAGAGTGAATAGGCACTAATGACAGAAATGTACTATTCTAGACTTAGGCTGAGTTGCACCACCTAACTTTGACCGTAACTATAACCGGTGCTTTTTGTAGGGAGTTTGACAGATATTTGACGTTTGTTAAAGTTAAAGTAAAATGGTGTAACTCAGCCTTAATCTCACATAACATCAGGTATGATTGCAGTTAAATACCTGCTTTGTATTGGATAAAAAAACTAATTCTATAAATCAACTTTTGAAGAATTATAAAAACTTTACAAATACATATCTCATTGCTAACTTTAGGTAATGTCAACCAAGTTGTTACTTGTTTTTTTCGAGACACGAATGATTCGATTTAACAGAAGCGAAAATCGATATCGATTATTCGTTAATATAGGCCGGGACAAAGTGCAGGAACGTTAAAAGGCCCGCTAGCACAGTGACGCGAATTGCATTACCCTCCGGAACAAAGAGGGGAACACGGAGCTACGACCCGTCTGAAAGGGAAGAACCTAGATTAAAATTAGTATTTTTAAAAAATAAATAAAAAATGGAATGGACTTTTTGTGAATGATTTTAGAATTCGCATTAAAAGCACCTTGCAAAATGCCAAGTTACTACATACTTTAAGCGGAACAAACATCATATTATTTTGAAATTATAATAATTGATTATTACTACTTGTCTAACCATTGTTCACATCTCTTTTACTTTATGATAGATTGATTAATCTGTTAACAAGGTATAAACAGGCATTTAATTGTTTGTTAATGTTAATTGTTTATTTTTATTACTTGAATTAGCTCATAATGACTGACGCCATAGAGAAGAAAGACCACTACTTACAGATTTGTAACTTAGAATAAGATTTTCAAAATTGATTATACTTTTCGTAGCTTCATGTTACAGATTCGATTTCCTCGGGTTGTGGCGCAGTGGGTATGATGAGTGGCCAAAGCAGATAATTTGAAACTAAATAGTAAGTAGTAAGTAAACGGTAGAGTAAGTATCTAGATAAGTAGATCATTCTTGTTGAAGATAAATTAAGTAAAAAAACGAAAATTTCAAAAATCTGCAAAATCGAAAATTTGCGGCATAAACGGCTGTATCTTTTGATTGCGTTAGCTTAGAAGTTTGATTTTTTCACAGCTTCAAGGGACAGTAGACCTGAGTAATTGATATAAATTTCAGCTTCATACCTCCACGCGTTCCTGAGAAAAAGGGTCTTGACAGACGGACGGACAGATCCTATAAGTTACAAAGTGATCCTATATAAGGGTTCCGTTTTTTCCTTTTGAGGAACGGAACCCTAAAAATGGTATCTATGGTGGTAATTGACTTAGGTACCCGTGAATGTTATTAACTTTGTTTCATGTTGTTTCATTTTCTTTCCAATCTATTGATTGTAAACTTCTTGTAGCTAAATTGAAACATTCTGAGTAAATTAGCTATACCTATACCTATTTAAATAAAATTATTGCATCGTCACGTAACGTAGCATATAATAGTATGTATCATGGAAAATTTAATCCATGAACGTAACTATGTAGTTAAATTTTAATTTGCAACATTTGACTGACAGACAGGTCATGTGCGCTTACGTCCGTATAAAAAGTTATTTAAATATAAATCACTATTAATAAATCTGTTTAGTTATGGGGGATAAACGAAATCTTTCCGAAATAACAAAACAAATTAAAATCAAAACTAAAACAGAGCCCAGCTGATTTCAATTTAGCTGGGGCGTCGACAATGACGTAAGCAAATTGGCGGCAAATTGTTTTGGCTGAACAAAACGACCCCTCCGGTGTCGCAATCGAATGAAAAATCATAATATCGCATTTTCTGCTTAGTTATGTTTGTTTAGTAGTACAGGGTTGTGCCAAAGATATTTTTTTACTTTAAATACATTGACATCTTTTTTTTAATACACTGACAACGACTAGAAATTAAATTGAAAAACTAACTAAATAACAATACATGTTCGCATGATAATTTTTTACTCATGTGTCACGACATAATATATTTTTTCATGAACATGATTTTTTCCTAGTGCTATGTTCCTACTAAACTGTTATTATAATTTTCTAAAAGAAGCTTTAAAATGTAAATCATTACACATAATCACTTAATTAATCAAGAAAAATTAACGTAAATTCATGAATTGATTAATAAAAAAAAATCTATTGTATTTTTTTAATTTTCCAAAATACTAATTAAGAAACAAAAGCCTCACATAATTAATCTAACAATCTGTTAAATTAATACGCGTGCTTCAACCCATTCAGCATAATCGCGCGGTTGACCGTGCCGTGACTAATCAGNCTAATCAAGTTGCGTATCGATTACCAGCGATCTATTTCGACAATGCAATTGATCGACATAACTATCACCGGAATAGTCTACTGTGGAAGATGTACGTAAATAATAAAATATCCAATTATCTATCTTAAACTGACGCCCGGGACGCCCTACTCGAACAAAAATTGGCACTTTAATTGGTCTTCGAAACCCCTAAGTCATTTAAAAATACCTATACAACGATACCCCACACGAGGGGGTAGAAGATGAAAAAAAAATTCATCCCCAGTTTACATGTAGGCGAGCTACCCTAAAAATTTTTTTTTTTTTCAAAATTTTATTCTACCGTTTTGTCGGCGTGATTAGGTATTATACATACCTCCACAAAATTACAGCTCTCTAGTGCCTATAGTTTCCAAGCAAAACCTCGGACGGACAGACGGACAGACAGACATGACGAAACTATAAGGGTTCCTTGTCAGGACTATGGAACTCTAAAAAGGTTTCTTTAAAATATCTAAGATGATTACACCAAATGTATTGTCATCATCATAAATGTTTACTAAGAGATTATTTTAAGAATTGATAATTGCTGAACGGTCCACATTGTAGACTAAAACATGACAGGTTTATAGCGTTAAAAGCAGGCATTTACTATTCTGGTATTGTAAAAGTGAATGGGCTATGAAGACCGCTGCCTATTAACTCTTTAAAAGAAATCTAGAGTTACTAGTACACCCGTAACATCTCGTACGCTAAAATAATTTATACAAGATATTCCGTGCATCCGTTAGAAATTAATCAAGCTGGGACGTAGTGACGAGTGTCCAGCCGTTCTATTAATAAAAGGAAATTGGTCGCCATCTTAGAAGCAAGGAGGTAGGGTCATATGGATTAAGTCATATGGGCTTCGGAGATTGGTTTCTAATCGGTCAGGACATGCAATATTGCTAACTGCTCAATATTTGATTGCAGTAAGATTTTTGATATATTTTTATTTTTTATGACTCAAAGAAGAACGGTCACGCCCCATACAAAAAAAACCCAG